TGATAAATGTAAATGTATTTTATACCTAAAATGTACCTATAAATTTAAAAAAAGTGTTATTCTTCAAAAAATGAGTAAGTGGATTTAGTTTCTTCTGTAATTCTTTGTTGGTTTTCAGGATAAACCATTTGGTTACTGTTTGGTTTTATTTTTAAGCCCAAATCTTTAGGCCAGTGGAAAGAATCATTACAGAATTACCCTGATCAGAACTTTTGGTCATTGTGTTTCATTTAATTTAACTCCACAGAGATGTAGCAGATGTAAAATATCTTCAATCAATCTTGTCCTTATGTGTTAGATTCAAAGTGAGGTCCCATAAGAGCCAGAAATCAAATGAGGTAGAACAAATCTAGAACTAACTGAGAGTTGGAGACATATCTGGAAGGAACCAGCAAAAGAAGTCACCAGATATAAAATTAGGAGGTAGCTAAGAATATTGCTAGGAATTTCTGCAAAAGTGAGAAGGGCAAATAGGACAAATATCAGCAAAAACAAAAAAAAAGAGAAGCAACATAGGAGTAATCTGTCAGGAGAATTGTAGCTAAATGCGAACATAGAAGCAGGTAGGCAAATTATTAAAAATCTCCTTTGCATACTTAATGAGCTGGATAAAGCAAGGCAAAAGAAGAAAGATTGAGAAAATACATTCATGCGCTGAACAAATAATTATTCAAGACAGAAAATTCTTTTAGGATCAGCTGCTCATCTCCTCCCAGTCATCCCAAAAGAAATTTCCTATCAATTTGGACACTGATCTGTACAATCTGCACACTGTGGGCTACGGAACACCCCTATCCTGGTTAAGAGTTGTTTCACTACCCCCCATAATCATGAAGTTTTAGTTAACCTTTGTAGTGTGTTTGTGAAGGTCTGGCCTGTGAAATTCTTATTGAATGAAGCTATTTTGTTTCAGTTGTGAGATACTCAAAGGCCACTTAGCAAGAAGCACTTCCTGCCCCCCTCTCACGAAGGTAGATCTGAGGTGGCCTTGTCCTCAACTCATGTGGACTTCTCATGTAGCCACATGTTACCGATTCATTTGAAAAGAATTAATAGTCACTATAATTGTCAGCATTGCCCGTGTAGAGTCCAATCTAGTAAGAAATTTGATAGCCACTG